GCACCTAGTTGAATATTATGTGTGAGAGAGAGATAATAGAAAAGTGGAAGTTTTTGTTTGACTTCACAAACTACTTGTGGAGATGGGCACAAGATTTGTGAGCTGGAATCTGCTAATATTTTTCAACCAACTAACAAAAAGAATCTTAAATAATTAATATTAATCAAGCAATTAAATATTACTCACCAGTAATTCATCTACTAAAATTGAATTATTCTATGAATTCATAATTTCATATAGTTTCACCTAGTTTCGTTACTTTAAATAGGGTTGGCTAAAAAGAGGAGCGTTTGCTTTGTTTCATATACTGAATCAGCTTTGTAGTAACTATATAGATGCTATTATTTGACAAGTGAAGTTTCCTATACATTATCTATTCGAATTTTATAGTGTGTTCGGCAAACGTGAAACTTTTAAATTTACATTTAAATTGGTCACGTAGTATATGTTTGAAATGTTTTTGCAGGTACATTATCTATGTATGTTTTTGCTTTATAAGTTATCTTTTATTGACTGAAAATATAAAGTGGGAGGAGAAAGCCGTTCTCTCTGTTCACACCTCAATTCATTCGTCTTAATTGTCGTCTTAAAATATAGTACTAGTTAGCTTTTATATCTAGCGGAAATGCTTACGTTTTAGTAAAGAATTTTGCGTTGACGGCCACCAGTTTGTAAACAAACAGGCCATTACTAATATTTTGTGAAATTTAAAAACGTTATATATGTCAAATTGTTTTGCTTTCTGTCAACATGGAATATATTATTATATATCTTTGTTCAGACTTATGAGTCTTCACACCAAACCATTTCCTTATAACATATCAGTTGTTTTCTTTGATTGTAATTATGAGAGAAACACATAATCTCATAATCTTTTGTTATGGTTGTAACGGGTGTTAGCTGAATTGAAGAATTGTGCAGACTGTAACTGAATTTTATTTGAATGTTACCAGTTGCATTTTAAAAAACTATGCTGAACTTGAGGAATTATTGGTGGAACAAAAAGGTAGTGGATCAGTTTTCACTAATATTACATAATTGCCACTTTGATGTAAAAGAGAGATGAAAAATGGTGGGACACGTGTTCTTTACCACTTGATTTTGTTAAATCATATAGATGACTTGATTTATCTTTACTGGATTGAATCATCTTCACCGTTGATTCTTAACAAATTCATGCGAGTGATTTTGTAGAATTTCGTATATTTAAAAAAAAAAATGTTTAATATTAATAATATTTAAAAAAGCCAACCGTTGATTATAATTAAAAAAGATTCATAACTTTTTGTGATGTTTATGAGATAATTTATTATGGCTTATTATAATATATGGGTGTGATTGTTTGGCATTAATAGAATAATAAAGTTGGAGTAATATGGAGTAAATTCTTTTATTTCATTTATGTAAAGAGAGATTTCTCGTTGGAAAAAAAAATTTATTTAATAACAATAACATTTTTATTCTAATATGGTGAAACCCAATTTTCATCCTGTTTACTCCCAAAACATACCAATCACAGCCTATATATATATAAATTTAATTACAAAATCAAATATCGTTAAGTTTATGAGATAATTTAACAAGTATATAGGACAAATTTATAATATATATATATATATATATATATTAACAAATATACAAGTATGTAAACCAAAAAACACATACAATTAAATTTTTATGTAAACCAAATTTGTAATATAGATATATATATATATTAAACTTATACAACTAAAAAAATATTAAATGTTATTTTGATAAATTTAATAACTTTACTAAACTTCAAATTTAATAG